GTCCTTGGACGGGTCGTCGCCCTTTGGGACAAAGAAGCGTCGCTGATTTGACGACGACGTTCCGAAACCTGAAACTGATCACATTCTTGTCATACCTCGTCCCACTGACCTTGGAATTTTCCCACTTTTCCTTTCGATAATCTTCCATTTCACTGAAAATTGTCCTTATTCGAGCATCTCTAACCCCAGTCGACAAAGGGCAATATCTTCAGAAAGATTGTGTAAACAAATAGCGTTGTAAGAACTGCAGAACCAGGGTGTTTTCCTCTTTACCGCCTGCACTTGACCTTCCCTTCTTAACTTTGCTCACCCCACTTTTTGCTCTGATTTTTCAAGCGATTATTCACCCTTTGGAAAGATTATGCCTTTATACCTTTTGCGGTTCGGTATTTTCAAAGTCGATCAATTGTGCAATTGTGTTGAGACTAGAACATTCGTAAACGGCCTCACTCCTATCATCAAACTAGTTCCACCCCCCTATGCCTGTTAGCTCCGATCTATCACATTCTATTCAAGTACTTTTTGCACATTTCTTTATCCGACGTACGTTATTCGTCCCCGCTGGACAACGGCTTTACGAATGAGCCAGATAATTGAAGTATAATCGTTTTTTCCAGTAACATCATGGGGTCCCTCACCCGTTCCGAGGACATGCGCTTCTGCCAGCTGATTGTCGAAAAAGAAGCTGCATTCAATTGTGTTGCTGAACTCGGCAAACATCCTTTTGTGCAGTTTAAGGACGTAAGAATTTTTGAATTTTTGAGAACCAGTTGATTTGGAATTTTTGCACAATTTGGCTAACTGTAACTGTTTACGGATGAGTCTTTTTTCTTGAAAACAACTACTCGAAAAATGACTTCTCTGGTTTTTTCCTGAGCTATTTGAATACTCAGTATACATATTTGTGTGGATGTAAATTATTCAGAAAATAGCGAAAATGCGAGTTGCCTTTTGAAAAAAAATAACGAGTTGATCAAATTTTTCATTATGATTTTGACCTAGTTTAACTTATTATTACCTACTCTTTCAACTAACTCAATTTTGGTTTTTTTTTCTTCAATTCTCGTCACAAAAAAATTAGCTTTT